CGTATGGGAAGTTTGGAGTGCCTGTTGTTTAGTCCAAGCTGTGTGGGTGGTGGTGGTGATTCTTGTCGGGAAAGATTGAAAGACCCTCATGGACGCCGTTACGTGCGGTGCACACATCAGAGTTCGAGGCTGACCTAGACCAGGTGTAGCCCATTCAATCAGCCACCCAGGTACCCAGTGCAGGAAGTATTAAGCCTTGTCTGACCTCCCTCAATCTTAGAATGTAAACGCGTCCGGATTGTATGTGTGTGTGTGTGTGTGCACTCGTCTTGCCTCCTATATAAGGTGAATAGATAACACCTGCAATGTTGTTTCCCTATACTCTCAGGTTATATGGCCACCCGATGAATGTGAATGGTGATTTCTTCCCCACGTCCCGCTGTAGCCATTCGCCCATATTTACGAAGCTCAGTCGGCTCCTCCCATCCTCAATCGGTAATCAAGTGAATGAATGGATACTTTCGTGACTAAACGATCGCCGAACTGAGGATTTGTGCAGTTTACGAAGCCTTATATGAGTGTTCAAATGAATTTACCCAGTCTATCTGCAAACTGATGAATAGAATCTGTTTCCAGGTCGAGAAACCGGTGTTTGCGTGACGGATATATGAGTAAGATCAAATGTTCTTGGGTCATTAGGTCATCTGCTGCCGGTTTGTACATCGTTCATCAAGAGACTGAACTGACCCGACCGTATTGCGGCCGTGTGGGGTCTTTAGAAAGGTGCCTACCATTAGGTTATCAACAGGATAGATCAGCTGATATACAACCCACACGAATGTGCTTGTGGGGAAACACATCGGCCAGGATAAGGACAGAATAGTGCGTTTCCACTCCCACCCGCCCGCCTGTCGCTCTCTCTTTCTCTTAATCACATACGTATTCTTCGTCCAAAAGTGTTGAGGCTAGTTTCGGAACTTCACTGGTTATCTGGTTTGGACTGATCATGGACTCCATATACACGTGCACAATGCATTCCCTTCAAAATACAGAAACGGCTACATAGTTTTACAAAGTAAATTAACTAGACAATCTCTCGTAGTGAGACCACCTTTCTTCTCATTGAGTAATAAAATCAGAATGTTTTCTCTAATCATCCAGCTTGTTCGAATGATTGATTGATGGACTGCAATCATTCCAATGAATCAATTGTGATACAAGTCCTAATCAATTTCTCCCCCCCCCCAGCCCCAAATAGATCAAATCTGTCGTGTCCTAACACCATGGAGAAGATTGACATGATGTTTACTTTCCCCACCAACCCGTAGATCACTGATACTCTTATCTCTATGGTTCATTCATAGGAATCAAACTTGAGTCGAAAGTGTTCACACCTTGGAGATACCAATCTAATTTCACGTGACACTTTTAGATTGACCCCGAAACCAAATCACACGGAAACGAATTACCAGTTGTGAAACCCGACCGAGGCAAACTGATCCGTCAATAAGAGTCCAACATTCCAATTACAAAAACCATATAGACCGATTGAACAGCAAGTGTATTCACGATCGAGTTCAGTCAGCGAGTGCGGCGTGAAGTATTGCTATAGTCACAATTCAGGGAGTAACCTGTACCCTTCGTGTGACCAATTTGTCCGCCAACCATTTGGGTTTGAGTAGGACACGTGGAGAAATGGAACATATATGTGGGTCAGATTGACAAGGTCGATCAATGTGAACAATTACAGGTCTTAGATACTAAGGCATGACAACCCTTACATTGCGTTGACTCAAGGTTGTTTGAAGACACACAAACAGACATGAGGGTGATGGGCGGATGAATCATGCTCCAAGGATCGCATGCATTCTATGCGTGCCTCAAGTTGTGAAAGGTGAAAGGTTCTCGAGGTAAAGAAAAGTTCTTTACTGGGAGGTTAATCACAAAATAGCTGTATGTTTACCCATATAAAATCGAAGGGGGTGAGACTGTCTGTTTAACTTTGGGTCTCTCAGTCACTGGAACCAGAGACTGCTGGAGGAGTTCCCGTATGAACGGACACAAGTCATCAGAGTGATCCAGTTTCTGTGGCTTGTGGTACCTGTTCACTCTCTTAATGATACATGTACACATACTCGTGGTTCGACCACGAGGGAGAACCTTTGAATTGATTGATTTTGTTTACTGTTTTTAAAATTAACCCCTAAATTTTCTCTAAAACTCCATTTGATGTGAATGTGAACACAACTGAGATCGGTAGTAATGGTTAGCACAATGTGAGTTACTTTCGGGCAATATCGATGCAGTCAAAAAGATAGAATTCGATGTCAATTCTTCAGTCGACGCTTGAATTGGTACAGGATTTGAAACGAATAACACAACAATTCAGTCATTGATCGACCGTATCACGTGTCAAGATGTGTCATTATGGTTTCCACATGAGCAGTGACTGAATTGTCCTACATAACATCCGAATTCCCTAGATTGAACAGACGGTTATGCGCTTCAGCTAAAATAAGAGCTGTGCATCTACGCGAAGTGCGACCAAGCAACAAACATCTTAGGTAGTTGGGTATCTGTTGTAGAATTGGAATGAATGATCTGTGCTCAGTGCCGCTGAGATCGGTCAATCAATCATCATCCGAAGTTGAATATGCAATATTCGAATTACTTGAAAATTGAACACGGAGCAAATGATCCACAAAGGACTATCGTTGGCATTGATATAGTTAAGTATTTACAATGATCGCATTTGATAAGAACAAGGATCAGCACAAAATTTGATTTATGTAGTGATGACAAATGCCATAAAAATGGTGCGAAGAGTTTAAAAAGTGCATTTGTGCTTTTTCCTTGGCAATAAATCAACAGGAAGCGTAGAAATGGAAAACTCCTGTTATCGACTACATGTGATTAATTTCTACTCGATATTTCTCTTTCTTCTCTTCAGGTAAAATAACTTAATAAATATGTGAAACGACGAATTCATCATATTGTCTATTTAAACCCTCTACTACTGTCGTGCAACGGGCAATCATGTTCCAAATGTCTTCAACCCAATCATAGCCCTGGAAGCGGGTACGGAGAAAAGGGAGATGTGAAGATCACAAAGATGGGATGGGCTTTATCGTGTAATGCTAAAATGAGAAGTGGTCTGATCTTTTGACCGGTGGTCGAGTGAGTATTAAGCTAACGTTCTACCCGCGAGGTCCCGGGTTCGATCCCCGGCTGAGTCGATGGATTCGCACGGCCAATGAGACCCAGCCAGGTAGAAACAGCTGTCCAGTGACTTCTGGCTTTACAGCTTCCGATTCACTTACACGTAGAATACATCGGAGAAAGAAATGCTTTCTTCACTATGTGTTCATGCTTGAGCTAATCACAGAAACATGTGACCTCTTGTTAAGAACAGCCAGTGAGGGAATTTGACATTACCTTACTTTAAGGTGAGCCTGTTCTCCTCAGATCCTACACGACTGGAGTTTCAGGGTTCTGTCGCTCGATAACTAATACAATTGAATCGACAAAACACAAGTAAGGTACCAAAGGGATAAGTGAGCTATTGAATCAAGGCTTAATGTGGAGATCAATGCTATGAACTAGCATTGCATTCATTATAAAAGAAACCATTCAAAAATTAGGCAAAGTTCCGAGAAAAGCGTTGTTCACACTTGCCCTATAAATTGTCAATTTTCGTATCATTTTTCTTTTTCTCTCTCATTCAAACAGTTTTGTATTTGTATTTAGCACACGTTTTTTTTGAGCAAATATGCTTACGCTTTTAAGATGAAATGTAAATTGTAAAAAAAGTGGTGTATCAATTGTTGTTGATGCAAAAGAAGAACGGTACAGCAGCTCGGCCGGTTCTGCTGTACGGGACAGAGACTTGGGCATTACGAAAATAATGTGAAGAATAATTCCGATAGATTCGTTGGGAAAACAAAGATGTGGCGAACAAGCTAGCTTTTCGTGCTTTATTTAAGGCCCAATTATATAGCACACTAGATAGCTCATGGAAATAACAAGAGAAGACAGTCAAATCAGGATTTTAGCAGGTGTAGAATGGGATTTCAGAGGCGAGGAGGGAGATGTTCCAACACTGATCGCATAATGAAAGATAATCCCTTGCGAAGTGTGAATATTCGACTGAAATGTTAGGTGAAGGCACTCCAATCAAATAGCCACGGGAAGGAAAGGGATGTAGTGAACTGTTTGTGTGCACATAGTGGGACTGGAAGGGGGGTAGTATACTCTAATCACTATCGCCTCTGCTGCACATAGAAATCGGGCTGTAACCTCCTTAGCGTTGAAAGCAAGCTTGTTGGCCACATTTTTGTTTTTCTAAAGATGCAAATAGACTGTCGGTGTTCGAACGCCGCTGTCTACATTAAGTTACACAATTCTGGTGGGGTAACCAAGAAAGCAATGAAGAGATTAGACGCAGAGTTTTGCACAATCGTGGCCGATCGCTGAAGTGTATGGTCTACTTCACTGAATGGATCACTCTAATTGGAGTATGCTTCACGAATATCACCAGGTAGATCACCACGACGCACAATAATTGCTGAAGCAAGTAATGAGTGAAAGAGGTAAAGGTTGGTCAAACTAAAACCTGATCCAGGAGATACGCACACATAGGTCACATTGGTCTTCCAGGATGGGAACTTCGGGGTCAATGCAATCAATGGGAAGAGACTGAGAAATATGACTGAGTGGCCCAAATAGCGTGACTCGTGTATCTACTCATTATCATTTCAGCTTCGGTCTTCACGAATTCTCCATTTTTACCTAAACACTGTTCTGAACATTTCAATATGACCAACTCACGGGACCAAAAGACAGGAACCAAGACGGTGGAAACAAAAGTGTACGACTTTTGATTGTTCGAACTGGAATCAGTCCCGCACCAGAACTCGAGCCGGAGCCAATTTTAAGTCTCGTTGTTTGTTGAAATGCATGCAAGATACGGAATGGAGATACTTCCTATTTAGGTCTACATGTGACAGATTATTTCGGAATTCAAAGTGTGTAGAATAATCAGAACGTAATACTGAACAGCTCCTCACGCGAAGGAGATCACTAAACATTTTATGATTGAACGCCGACCACGAGGATATATGCTGACTGCTAAAAAAAACGGTTAAAAAATAATGCTTTACAAGGTTCGGCATCTTGAGGATTTCAGTAACCATAGTTAGTTCTTAGTTCTACCGCATAAGCAGGATAATGCTTAGCGGCAAAGACGTCAAATAAGTGAAAATGACATCGTCAATTTTCGCAACAGAGTTATGGGATGTGCAATGTGTGTGTGTAGAAGAGACTAATTGACATGAGAGTTTTTACTTTCATGTCTGAATGATACTTCTGTTTATTGGTGTGGTGTCCCACAAGTGACTGGTACGTTTGTCATCCTTGCTTGTGGCTAGATTGATTGATTGATTTGTTGACTTTTTGAATGCCGGTTCGGCAGTTTATGGATGTCATGTGAGCCTGCGATGGTCTACCTGCCTTCCTTCTTGCGTGTTTCCCATTTATGTTTGCTAACCGGTCTATGGACCAGCTGCATGTGTGCATTCTACAATGAACTTATTCCTTGATTCACTACACGCTTTTCTACCTACTTAACCTGGGGCAGAACAAAAGGTTCGTCAGTCATTTCCGTCCCCCCCCGCCGTGTAACACGATCATTCGATAAAACAACCAGTAATGTACCTACCGAATTAGTGATTAGCGAGCTGAATCAAAACTGAAACCCACTGAAGAATGAAAAACTGGACAGATTCGAATGAGTTCTTGCCGGAAGTTGATAATCAAGTAAAACAGATTGGCAACAACATCCACATCATCTGTGAACAAACTGGGGAACATCCAGAAGCAGATGCAGTCAACTTGTGATATGCTTCTCAGCCGGGCTGCTTGTCCTTTGGAGGTTGAGATATCGACTGTAATGCAATCAGAGGTCAGCGGTCTGGTGGGAAACGAATGGAACTTTCATTGAAATTATGTGTGGCTTCTAT